TTTTGGAGTCAAAATGGGAATCGTGGGACCCGCACCGAACTGTCCGAATTTGACTCCGTCAAGAGACCCTAAACAGCACTCCAAACTTGTGTTCCAAAATGGAACACAATCCGAGGCTCAAAACACAGCAAAACCAACAAGCAAGAAAACCCACTTTAATAAACTAAAAGAAACCCTAGTGCAGCAGTCAAAAATCAGAATAAACGAGAATCGAAAGGTGTCCAGCACTCCTTGAACACTCTACAACGAAGTCACGACAATTCTCAACACGTGGGACTTCGAATCACCCCAAAACCGAGCTAAAATGAGTGAGATATGACCAAAATAATAATACCAAAAACAATTGCTCGAAAAAGGACACTGCAGTCAGGTTTTATGCGAAAATACCTCAAACGGGAACCCCAAACCACTATCCGAGCTCACCAATGCGTTGCCCTCGAAAAATCTCACAACTTTGTCTTTTGAATCGCCCAAATTGGATGAAAGATGAGAGAGTAAAGAGAGTTTGAAGTTTTGGGAATATTGCTGAAAATCTGCAATATATTGCAGATTTTCTGCAATTTTTTCCAAACAAATTTAAAAAACCCCCGACGGGGGTAACTCCGATCTCGTTCGGAACCCCGTGCACGCAAACGAGATATGCAACCATACCAAATTTGATATTCTAGACTCAACGGCGCAGTCGAAATTTCCATCAGAGGTCATTTCGATAAAAAGTGGGTCCCACTTCCAAAAGGCCATTTTAAGCCAAAACCCACAAAAGGGCTCGGAAAGATATCAAAAATTTCAGGACACAAAAGAAGGGTCAATCTAGACCAAACTCGACATTCCGGAGCTAGCCGCACTGACGGAATTCTCATCCGAGCGCGTTTACTCAGAATGTTGACCAAAGTCAAACTTAGGCTTAAACTTAAAGTTAAAACGCCCAATCGCACCGACTCACACTGAAAGCCTCGGGAGTTAAGTCGACCATGCTACTAGCCTAAAATGACCCTTTCAGAGCTGATGGAATCGTCAGAATTGGATTCCGATGTCATCTTCTTGAACTTTTGATCAAAAATGATCGTTCAAGGTTCATAAGCTCCAAAACACAAAAACTCACACCAAGACCAAACGAACGACCAGGTGACCGAACTGTCAGTCCCAGCAAGTCATAAATGACTTGAGGTCGATACAGGAACGCTCTAAACGACACACAGAAGGCAAGACACAGAAATGACCAAAAGGGTCATTACACAACTACAACCACTTCCAAGGCTGCTTGGGATTCTTTGCACACTGCATGTGCCAACAGGGCAAACAAGAATCTTTAGTCTGCACGATCGTCTCACTCTTCTTTTCAAAGAAATCCATTGATTATCTCTACCAAATTAGATCTATTTGTAATGAACTTGCCATTGATCTCCTTTGTTTAATGAGGAATTTACTGTCAAAATTCTCATTGGACCTGGACTCGAATTCCATGAAATCTCTATCGAACTACTACTACCCGTGCAAGAGATTCTATTGTCTCATATTCAGATCTTTATGAAAAGTTGCTTGATCATGAACTTTTACTAAAGCATGAAGAAACCAAGAGGTCCCTATTGACACCAATTATTGTTGCTATTGCACAAAAAATGAACGCACATCCTAGTCAAGGAAACGACTCTTATAGAAGAGAATTCAAAGTACAAAGATGTAAATATATAAAGAAGCCAAGGGAATTCACCATGTACTATATTTACAACTCAGTGTAATTTATAAGCAAGGAGATTCTAATAAACTCTGAGTTAATATCTCAAAAGGTTACTCAACTTTGAGAGTTTATCTAGTAAAATCATTAACTTTATTTTGTATCAATAAAATCACTTAACTTAGACATCTATATCAGTAAAGTCACTCAACTTATCATTTGTATCAATGAAATCACTCAATCAAATTTAATTGAGATGACAAAATAAATTATTTTTTATATGGACTTCATAAATTAAGATAATCGTGATTCAGGCTACATAGATTAATTGGTGTTATTTTCAACTGGAAAAAGCGTAAGTGTTGGATGTTGTTCACCTGTTCAGTGGAATTGTGATTCAGGCTACAGAGATTGGTGTTGGAAATTGGTAGCGGTAGAAGCAAACATTGATTTTTTGGTCGGCGGGTGGTGGTGTTGGGTTTTGGTTTCTCTTAACATATTTGACAAATCATTTGAAAACATGTCTATTTTAATTGGTCGAGTGATTTTATATGACTTTACTACATAAATTAACAAAGTTGAGTGACCTTTTGAGATATTAATTCAATAAACCCTCTTCAGGCACCCTAGTACCGTCCATGATTGTCAAATTCCATTTTTTTTTTTGTAAAAATTGGTAATTTGGCATGATTGTCAAATTCCATTATAATGGTGTTGTTAGTAAAAGTCATTTTAACTTCATTGTGAAATTATTATCTTGCACTGGCAGTAAGTGATTTTATTGATACAAAATAAAGTTCAATGACTTTACTAGATAAATTAACAAAGTTGAGTGACCTTTTGAGATATTAATTCAATAAACCCTCTTCAGGCACCCTAGTACCGTCCATGATTGTCAAATTCCATTTTTTTTTTTGTAAAAATTGGTAATTTGGCATGATTGTCAAATTCCATTATAATGGTGTTGTTAGTAAAAGTCATTTTAACTTCATTGTGAAATTATTATCTTGCACTGGCAGTAGCTATTATTAGTTTAGTTATTATACTAAAGTAGTTAGACAATTAGAGAAAAGCATACATATTTCCAATTATGTGACTCAGTAGGTCAAGTAACCAATTAGAATAGTATGAAACAGATTTACGTTAGATGCAATATTAAATACTTGAAGAAAATAGTTGTCACTGGGGCATTCCTACTCTGAGGGTCAATTAGTGTGTAATTCTACCTTAGCAACTTTTATGGTCTTTTACATTCGAATGTGCAATGTTGGATTTGGGGCACTATAGAACTGTGCCTTATCAGAATTTAATGATTCACCATGCACACAAGTCATGCTTGTATGGCAATAAATGACAACATGAAATGATATTTTGCATTTTGTATGCAACTCAGTAAAATCATTCTTTCTAATTAGCAGCTCTCTCATGATTCGATTAAAGTTCACTTTGTTCTCCTCTTTTCCATATTGTAATTAGATAGACCCTTGGGCATCAAAGCCTTTAACAATTATGTGCAGTTTTTTGAGAATGTAAACTAATATGTGCCTATATCAAAAATCAAGAAGGAAAAGAAGAAAGAAGCATAGCTTCTAAATGCTTATACATGAATATTTTAGGTGTTTTCATATAATGGGCTACATTCTTATTTACACAGGTCATGTCAAACCATTCAGCTACAACTATTTTATACGGAATCATGGGGACGATTTCTAAGGGAAAGAAGTCCTCTTTTAAGTTGATCGATATATGACAGTAAGGTAATGTTGCATTCTGTTGGTGTGACCATTTTAATATTATACAAATTGTTACATATTCACATTGCCACTGCCACACTAAGTCTTTGCTGAAATGTATGACATTTGTGCCTAATTACTCATGGTCAATTAATGACCAGAGGCATAAGGCATATTGCTTTATGAACGTTGGCAATGGAACGTTGGCATCTGCACGTTAGTGCATTTGTTGCCCTCAACTTTATTTCATTCTTTACTCCTCCATTATTCTTGTAACCTATGTAACTCTTAATATCATTATCTTCACTATTTGCTACACCATTATCTTCATATTCATTGCTAGGAAGACTTCTTCTAGTATAAATAATGGTGGTCTTCATTTGGTTTGTTACACACAATACAACAAGAAAATATAGAGTGTATAAGGTTTGTCAAAAAAAGAGTTCTTATTAGTTGAAGGGAGGTGTTTCTTTTGTGGAGCTTTGGACTCAACTCTTGTCCAGAGTTGTTGAGTTATATTTTGTGATTAGGTTGTTGTATCCTGGAGGGGACAAATCAAGAAGGACTACTGCTGGACCGGTGAAAACATTTGCTGCAGTGGGCTTGAATCTCCTTAAAGAGAACGAGATATCCGCGCCTCAGCCTGAAGAGATTTATTTTCAATTGTAATCTTGTATTTTTGTTATCTTGTAAGTTTTCACTAATAATTTTAAGGAGAATTTTCATGGCGACAATTGAAAAAAACGCGAATGTCAAGATGGGAGACCTTAACAAGGCATTTCGGTTCAATGGTAATCATTTTAAGAGATGGAAGGGTAAAGTACTTTTCTACTTGAGTCTTCTCAATGTTTCTTATGTGTTAAACTGAGAAGAATCCTAATAAAGTAGAGATCACCTCTATGAATGATGATGAAACTATTTCTCATTTAGAGAAAGTGGAAAAGTACGATGGTAATTCCTATAAGTGTCGGTATTATATTCTTAATTGTCTATCTGATAATTTTTATGATTATTATGATAGAACTTACTCTAGTGCAAGAAAATTTTGAAAGCGTTGCAGAGTAAGTATGATACCGAAGAGGCTGGAGCAAAAAAATATGCGGCTAGTAGATTTTTTCGTTTCCAAATAGTGGACAAAAATCAGTGGTAGACCAAACTCAAGACTTTATAATGATTGTTGGAGAGCTAAGGTCCGAGGAGGTAAAAATTAGAGATAACCTTATTGTTTGTGGCATAGTAGATAAACTTCCACCTTCTTGGAAGGAATTTCAAAAAACTATGCGCCACAAACAAAAGGAAACCTCCCTTGAAACCTTGATAATAAAAATCTGCATGGAAGAAGAGGCTAGGGGCCAAGATGCACTTTTACAAACAGAAGAGAGCAACATCACAACGAAGGTAAATTTAATTACTTCAAATAATGCTACTCCTAAAACTAACAAAAATACTTCTTTGAAGCCTAAGAAGAAAAAAATTAAGAAAAATAATAGTAGACCTCCCAAGGAAAATAATGGTGAAAATATCCAAACACAAAATCAACAAGTTCAAGACAAGGGACCATGCTTTGTTTGTGGCAAGAGTGGGCATATTGCTCGATTTTGTAGATTCTGGAAACGTGGTCCTAACCCTCAGGCAAAAGTTACCAAAGAATCTTTTATGGCTGTGATTACAGACATAAACATGGTTGAGAATGCTGATAGATGGTGGGCTGATTCTGGTGTAAACCGTCATGACTTATTTTGAGGAACCCAAAACCATCATGCTTGGTGATGCTCACACTACTCAAGTGCTTGGAAAGGGAAATGTAGAATTGTGTTTTACTTCTGGAAGGGTATTAACTTTGAAAGATATACTTTATACTCCTTCTATGAGGAAAAAATTGATGTCTAGTTTTCTTCTTAATAAAACAGGTTTTAAAGAGATTATTGAATATGATCAATATGTAATAGTCAAGAAGGGTATTTTTGTGGGGAAGGGGTATGCTTGTGATGGAATGTTTAAACTGAATGTTGAAATGAATAAAGTTTCTACTTCTGTTTTTATATCTGTTATGACAAAGACTGGTTTAAAAATATACTCATTTTGAGGAGCCCAAAACCATCATGCTTGGTGATGCTCACACTACTCAAGTGCTTGGAAAGGGAGATGTCGAGTTGTGTTTTACTTATGTAAGGGTATTAACTTTGAAAGATGTACTTTATACTCCTTCTATGAGGAAAAATTTGATGTCTAGTTTTCTTCTTAATAAAGCAGGCTTTAAACAGATTATTGAATCTGATCAATATGTAATAGTGAAGAAGGGTATTTTTGTGGGGAAGAGGTATGCTTGTGATGGAATGTTTAAACTGAATGTTGAAATGAATAAAGTTTCTACTTCTGTATATATGTTTTCTTCTACCAATTTTTGGCATGCTCGTTTGTGTCATATTAATGATAGTTAAGTTGGAATCATGAGTAGTTGTAGTAAAGCCAAAATCACTAAAAGGCCTCATTTTCAAGTTGAAAGAAAAATTGATTTATTAGAATTAGTTCATACTGATATTTGTGAACTTGGTGGAATTTTAACTCGTGGAGGTAATAGATATTTTATCACTTTCATTGATGATTTTTCTAAGTTTACATGTGTTTACTTGATGAAAAATAAAAGTAGATGCTTTTGAAAATTTCAAAACTTATCTCCATGAGGTTGAAAATCAGTTTGGAAGAAAAATAAAAAGAATTAGAAGTGATAGAGGCCGTGAATATGAGTCAAATGAGTTTAATTCTTTTGTTAGATCATTGGAAATAATTCATGAAACTATTCCTCCTTACTCTCCTTCATCTAATGGAGTAGCGGAAAGGAAAAATAGAACTTTGGTTGAATTGACTAATGCCATGCTTATTGAGTCAGATGCACCTTTAAATTTTTGGGGTGAAACTATTTTAACTGCTTGTTATGTGTTGAATCGTGTGCCTCATAAAAAATCTAAATTGACACCTTTTGAATTATGGAAAGGTTACAAGCCAAGTTTGGGATATCTAAGAGTTTGGGGTTGTCTAGTTTTTGTGAGGCTAATGGATCCCAAGATTACAAAATTGGGTAAGAAAGTTACTACTTGTGCTTTCTTGGTTATGCTTCAAATAGTACAGCCTATAGATTTTTAATCTTGAAGATAATATTGTGATAGAATCAGGTAATGTTGTTTTTCATGAAAATAATCCTTTTGATTCTAAAAATAGTGGGGGTCAAAAGATTGAACAAAATATTTTGTCACTACCTAGTTCTTCTACTTCTACTTTAAAAAATAAAGAAATTGATGATTTTGAGTTAAGAAGAAGTAAAAGAACTAGAGTAGAAAAAGATTTTGGTCCTGATTTTTAATGTGTTTAAAGGTTGAAGATGACCCTCTCACTTTGAAAGAAGCATTATCTTCACATGATTCTATATTTTGGAAAGAGGCTGTAAATGATGAAATGGAATCACTGATTTCTAATAAAACTTGGAAGTTAGTTGATTTACCACCGGGTTGTAAAACTATTGGTTGCAAATGAGTCTTAAGAAAAAAGTTGAAACCGGATGGATCTATTGATAAATACAATTCATGAAAGATCTTGGTGAGACAAATTTTATTCTTGGAATAAAAATAACAAGAACATGTAATGGAATTTTCCTTAACCAGTCACATTATGTTGAGAGAATTTTGAAAAAATATAGCTTTCTTGATTGCAAGCATGTTGCTACT